CGAAATCAACAAAATGAGAAAAGCGGTTATGAAAAATTAGAGCGCAAATCGATCATGTGAATGACGGAAGGAATTGTCAATAAAACGAAAATATGAGATATGAAAGCATAACTATATCACATAGCATATGGATTTTACGAAGTAATTTACACGATTAAATCAAACCATTGACAAATTGCGCATTCGCATAGCCTGGCATCAGGGATTTCCGTGAAAAATCAGACAAAACGGAAACACAGCTAAACTGGTTCCTCAATGCTAGCCGTAACATGTATGAAACTGACCGTAATGATCCTCCTCAATGCTTATTTTCAAAGGTACTAAACTGCTAGTTTTCGACTACTATCTCAAGGAAACCGTACTTTCTACTAAAAATTGCCCTTATGCAATCGTTTTGCCGTGACGTAACGTGATCAGCAAATCGCAACTCACGTTAGCCGCTCCCAGAAAGCCCTGCCACGTCCTCTTTGTTATATTTAGGCCGATACATATCGATGCAAGATTAACTAAATGATAACATATCTAAAGCAATTATGAAAGGAAGATTAACCTGTGACGAATTTCACCAATCACTCTTATGACTTAACAAAAATTCAACTTTTACGGGGAGATGAATAGGAAAAGACTGCTTTACGACAGTGTGTACTAGTCAATCTTCACGGCAGCATAGATCTTGCAAACGAATGAGTATGCGGCATAGAAGCCAATGGTACCGGTGAGAACCCAGAATGCCAAAGCCATCAGAAAGCTGTAGCTGAAGTACAAAAGCGTCGGAATGAAGCCTACTATGTTCAGCTGAAAATAAAACATACTTATAACGGCTGCTGCACAAATATTTTAACACAAATCAATGAAGTGCTCCTTAGGAAGTATGATCAGTAATCTGCACACCAAAAAAATTTGAGCCAGGTTATGAAAGAAGTAACTGCGCGATAGTGGACCCAATTTTGAGGGAGAATACCACTGAATGACGACCTCGAACGTACGGATTCTGTGGTAATCAAATTTCGCTAGAAGTTTTCCGAACAGCACTTGTTCATTTACAGATTCTATATTATCTGTTATCTATCTAACTGACAATATATTATTAGTTGATAACATTATCTATCCAACTTGACCAAAAAAAAAAAAAAATACAGTAAAGATTTAATGCCTCAAAAATTACCTTGCTGATGTAATAGAATGTTGCGTAGCCCATCACTGCAAACAAAAATTATTAATAAAAAAAAGAATTTATATAGCTCCACCCCGCACTTTATTACGTTTAATATGATAAAAGAGTACTTCTTCGTGGCAATATTTAAGCTGATGTCAAATAAGCCATCTCA